TACTTTTGTTAAAATGAATTTCCTTCCCTCCCATCTCTCTGCTGGGGCTCTATAACCATGTTCCAGTGGTAGATAACCCTTTTCTGATCTTTTTCTTGTGTTCTCAGAATTTCCAGCACTGAGACATCTAGGTTATTTGTGATTTTATAAACTGTGAGGGGAACCCCAGTCTCAGGTGGACTGGAATCTGAGATTGTCCAGGTACGGATTCACCCTAAGAGCAGATATATTTTTTGCCTTCCTCGCAGTTGTTCATTACTTCTTACCTTGTTTGGTCTGATAGCACTACATAACCACTATAGAGAGGAAAGGACTCAGGACACAACTATTTCTCCATGAGCCATACAGCCAAGAAGAGAATCAAGGAGAGTAAGCTGATTTGACAGTCTGTGGCCTAAAGCACAAGATATATATATATATATATATATATATATATATATATATATTTATTTATTTATTTTATTTATTTTATTTATTTTATTTATTTTTTTTTTTTGACAGGCAGACTTAAGACAGTGAGAGAGAGAGAGACAGAAAGAAAGGTCTTCCTTCCACTGGTTCACCCCCCAGATGGCTGCTATGGCCGGCGCGCTGCGCTGATCCGAAGCCAGGAGCCAGGTGCTTCCTCCTGGTCTCCCATGCGGGTGCAGGGCCCAAGCACCTGGGCCATCCTCCACTGCCTTCCCGGGCCACAGCAGAGAGCTGGACTGGAAGAGGAGCAACCGGGACTAGAACCCAGGGTGCCGGTGCCGCAGGCGGAGGATTAGCCTAGTGAGCCACGGCTTCAGCCAAGCACAAGATTTTTAAAAGCCCATTGCTGAGCCCTCTAGCATGGGTCTAATCTTCACCAAATACCTCCCCTAGGTCTGGTAGGCACAGAATGGACAGAGCTCCTAGCACCCTTTTTGCCAGACATGCATTCAGCTCCATTTAAAGCCTTCCTTGGTCTTGCCATTTCAGTCCTCTCCTTCTAAGCATTAGACCCAATTCCCTTTGTCTTCTTTTCCTTACCTCTGCAGTGGCAACTTTTGCCCAGGGGACAACCCTTTCTTTGGGTGGCAAACTCATTTTCTCTCCAGGACACCAGAGGGACAAGGTGTAATTCAACTCTTCTCTCTATCAGACACTGCTGCCAGGAGGAGACAATGAAGAAAGTGATCTTTGTTGCTCCCTGAATAGGACCCTGAACATGGCATCTGCTTTTGTTACTGGCTCCTTAAGTCACTGGAGACATTTTTGCTGTCTTCCTGGGCAGCAGCTGCTCTGGGGTACTAGTGGCAACTGGCTGTCACTGGTTGCTGTATTTATATGAGGAGAGTTACCTTTCATGTAACCTCTTGTCTTCAGGGTTTGTCTGGTGAGTGAGCAGTTGGAAGTCAGCTGTGCCCTTAATTTGGTGACCCCATGAGCCTCATCTTCTCTGCATCTGAGGAGTCACTGTCATTTCTTTTTCCTGCTGTGCTCTCTCTTAGACTCTGAATTCTTTGTTCCTAGCACCTAGGTTAGTGCTTAGTGCCTGCTATGCATACAACGAATAAATGTGGCACAAATGCTTGAACAAATTCCTTCATCTGGCTGTCCAGGTTTAGTCTCACTGATCTAACATGGGACTGCTCGAGGGGAGGAGGACCTCTACTTTTAGGAGAAGGATGACTTCGGAGGAATTATGGGAGGCATTAATTTCTAGAGAGGTTTTGGGGGAACTTTGGGAGCTCCAAGGTAGACTTGTTCTCTCTTCACTGGCCTAGATCTTCTTCCTTGGTTGTAACTCTGCTGGTGGACTCTTTCTCCTGGTTCAGGGGCAGTGTCCTGAACCCAAAGCAGACCTTTGTGTCACCTGAGCTCTGTCCCTGAGAGTAGGGCAGGATATTCCTCTAAACAGTCATCCTGTGATGGTAGAGCCAGCAGGGCTCAGGACCACTCCTCACACACTGTGGTCTGGGTATCCAGACTGGGGCTGCATTCAGTCAAGTCCCACTCAGCTCCAGGGTGTCTGTGCCTTTGTAGAGCTGTTGGAGACATCAGGGCTTTTTTTCCCCTTTGTCAGCAGTTGGCCAGAGAGTGTCTCTTGGGTTGCCAAATCCTAAGCCTTTTTGCATTTGTCTGTCTGTCTGGAACACAGGGCAGTCTCTCTTACCACCTGAGGCTACATCACAGTATTCACCTTTGTGGAACCTGCTGGAGGGTAGAAGGCGAACAGCCATGGAGAGCATGTGGAGCTGCCATGGTGTTTGAAGTGCTCTGATTGTGGGGAAAGGTCCCTGGTCTCCAGGAATGCAGCTGGAGTCCAGACCATCACACCACCCCCAACTCCCCAGAGCCTCAAGTTGGAACCATCACTCATTCTGTAATCCCAAACATCCTTGTTTTTGTTTAATTTTTATCTGATAAAATGTGATTAACCATGGAGTGAACAGGGGAAATGACAAACTAGCATATGTTGTCTTTTAAGTGCACTTAGTTCAAGTGGCTATTTTAAAAGTCAGTTGTTCTTGCTGTGAGATTGCTGTTGTCCATCTAGTCTGATTTCCTCCTTTAGGTGGGAGGAGTCTCTGAATAGACTTTCATAGCAGCATTAAAGTAAAAGGACTCAGCTCTTTTTGCTGGTTGATGGATCATTCCTTTATACCTACCCTTTCCAGCCCTTGTATTTAGATTGCACTATGTTAACTGACTTCAGATCATGACCCAGAAGGGGTCTTGGAGATCAGTCAGGGGTTCTTTACTTGAGGTTTGCTGATCCTTCTCCACTTGGAAACGAACGTTCATATGTAGGTGAATGTGTACCTTTTTTTTTTTTTTTGAGAGAAGAATATCCTTAGTTTTCATCAGATTCTCACTGAAAGACAGTTAAGAACAGGCTCCTGCTCCCACAGCTACTTAGCGGCGAGGTTAGATCTTGAGACAAACTCTGGAATCCAGGAATTGACTCCACAGCCAGAGTTCTTCCCACTGTCCTCTGTTCTCCTTACTCTTCCCAGAGAAGGACGTGAAGACACTTCTGGAAGACAGTCACACATGATCTGAACTATTATTTAATGTTTGCCCTTCTGTATTCACAGTCTTATTTCACAGATGGTGAATGCAAGGCTCTGTGAGGCAGGTCACATGGCTGGTCTGTTGGGCTAGGTAACCTTAAAGATACTATTATTCTAACACCAGTGCATTATAGAATCTCTACTTGTCTTTTTTTTTAAAAAAACTGTATTCTGCTCTCTAACTTAAGCCTCATAAGTGTTAAACTCCCTTTATTTAATTAATTTATTTTTTTAAAGATTTATTTATTTATTTGAAAGTCAGAGTTACACAGAGAGGAGAGGCAAAGAGAGAGAGAGGTCTTCCATCTGCTGGTTCATTCCCCAATTGGCTGCAACGGCCGGAGCTGCGCCAATCAGAAGCCAGGAGCCAGGAGCTTCTTCCGGGTCTCCCACATGGGTGCAGGGGCCCAAGAACTTGGGCCATATTCTGCTGCTTTCCCAGGCCATAGCAGAGAGCTGGATTGGAAGTGGAACAGCTGGGTCTCGAACTGGCGCCCATATGGGATGCCGGCACTTCAGGCCAGGGCATTAACCCGCTGTGCCACAGAGCCGGCCCCCTAAACTCCTTTTAAAAAAAAATAATTTATTTGAAAAGTAGAGCTACAGAGTGGGAGAGAGGAGAAATAGATCTTCCATCTGCTGGTTCACTCACCAAATAACCACAATGGCCAGGGCTGGGCCAGGCTGAAGCTAGGAGCCAAGACCACGCATTTGTGGCATCTTCCACTGCTTTCACAGGCACATTATCAGGGAGCTAGATCAGTAGTGGAGCAGGGGCCGGTGCTGTGGTGTAGCGGGTTAAGCTGCTGCCTGCATCCTTTGCTGCTTTCCCAGGCCATAGCAGAGAGCTGGATTGGAAGTGGAGCAGTCGGGTCTCGAACCAGTGCCCATAATGGATGCTGGCACTGCAGATGGTGGCTTTACCCACTATGCCACAGTGCTGGCCCCCCTTGTACTTTTTTTTTTTTTTTTGAAGATTTATTTATTTACTTGAGAGAGTTACAGATAGAGGGAGAGACAGAGACCTTCCACCTGCTGGTTCGCTTCCCAAATGGCTGCAATGGCTGGAGCTGGTCCAATCCGAAGCAAGGAACCAGGAGCTTCCTCTGGGCCTCCCACATGGATGCAGAGGCCCAAGGACTTGGGCCATCTTCTATTGCCTTTCCCAGACCATTAGCAGGGAGCTGGATCAGAAGTGGAGCAGCTGAGACACGAACTGGTGCCCATATGGAATGCTGGTGCCACAGAAGGATACTTAACCTACTGTGTTACTGTGCCAATCCCTTGCTGCTACTTCTAATACTAAGATCTGCACAACATGACTGGCTACCTTGTTGGTACTGTTAACTGACTAGTGTCATCAGAAGGCACTTAGGCTTGGATTGGTTACTTCTATTGTCTTCCCCATTCTGTTATCTAAGCAGCTGTTAAAATTGTTTAGCTTATCTTTTCAAATGAGTGTACTCTTTTTTTCATAATGCTATTTAATTTTTCCACTTGCATCCAGCCTATATAATTGAGAGTTCTGCAACTCTTTGACACAGTGTGAATTCTACACTTAGTCACTTAATGGGAGCCTATGAGCCAGGTTGTCTGAAAAAACTTAGATCTGGTAGGTGTATGTATCTCTCTTGTGAGGGATAGTTCAGGGCTGTCTGACTCCAGTGGTTGCTCCTGGCTTACCTGGAGCAGACCAGATCTGGTTACCATATCTGGTAGGTTATTTCCATGCTGTCTCCTTGGCCTGATATATGACATTTGGTCAGATTACTTAACTTCTATCTGTTTTCTTATCTGTAAGTGAAAAGTTTCAGTTATTTTAATTAAAAAATTTATAAGTTTAATACAGATGAACCACATTGAATTATAGCACAGAGATGCTATAGAAATTTCAGAGGTTCTCGTCTAATTATGTAGCTTGTCCTAAGATCCTGTGATTATTGGGTAGACATCTTTTTGTATTATTAAATATTTATTTTATTTATTTGAAAGAGTGACAGAGGGGAAAGAAAGAAAGCCATATGCTGCAATGGCCCAGGGCTGGGCTGAAGCCAGGGGCCCAGAATTCCATTTGAGTCTCCCATGAGGGTGGCAGGGGTCCAAATATTTGGGCCATCATCTGCTGCTTTCCCAGGCACTTAGTAGGGAGCTGGATCAGAAGCTGAGCAGCTTGGACTCAAACTGGAGCTGCACTATGGGGTGCAAGGAGTACAAGGAGCAGTATAACCTGCTGTGCCACAGTGGAGACCTCAGGTGGGCATCTTTTTGAGACTAGAAGGAAATTTACAGCAGTAGCTACTGATGTATTAAAGCAGCTCTAAAACAAATGAGCTGAGAGAAGTAATGTTTTGGAGTGGGAGCATGCTGGTAATTCAGGACATCTTTTCTCCCTAGTTACCTGTGAAAAAGGTCCTGCGTCTCTGAATTGTTAGGCTTTTAATATTTAGGGAATGGGCTTGACAGTTTCTGCGTCTTTCTTCTTCCTGGCTTGTACTGCCTTGACATGCATTGTCTCCTCTATTGGGTGGCTGTATTCCAGTCTGCTGTCCTGGCTGTTGAAAGGAGAGTGCAGAACTGGTTGTTTGTTTTGTGAAACCTGTCCCATTGCCATGCAATATTTGCCCAGGAGTGCCTGGTGTGACATTCTTGTGGTGAGTGTGGCCCTTTAAAGATTTCATTTGTAGATGTTAAATGAACCCGTAACTGCTGTGTGCCAAGAGCACTGAAGTCATTTCTCCTTAGGGTTTAAACAGGAGGAGTAGTAATCCCAGTGGAGCCTGGGCTGGGGTCTAGAGCCTGGAGGTGGCAGATGATAGGCAGGGGCTGTTGTGGTCTCGTGGCTCATTTGCACAGAGGAGGGGCTGGCCTCCCTTGGGGAGGTATTTCCGCTCACTGTAACAAATGAGGGTGCACAAAGGGCTGAAATGTAATGAGGCTTCTCTGGTGACGTCACTTGTAAATGTGGTCAAAGTCCAGTTCTTGGAAGCTAGTAGAAGCAGGAATAGAGATCAGGCCGTTTGCATGCTCTCACTTCTCAGCTGTCACTGCTCGATGGTGCCTTCTTCCAGCCACTGAAGCAGCACGACTGGACTGGGGCATGAACGCCTACAAGTACCAGAAGTTCCTGGAGGGCCTCAACAGCCTTAGAGGTATTACCAGGCGGCAGGCTCCCTGCCCTTTATCTTTGCCAGTTGTGTGAACACTTGTTGTGTTTGTTGTTTGAAGTCTTTACTTTCTATCACCACTTGTGTACTTAGAAAGCCCTGTTAGTCCTAGCTGGCTGTATTTTTTTTTCCTGTGTTTTAACAGTTAACAGGGAAAGGCTAGAGTTTGTAAGTGTGGTCCTAAGTGAGAAGGAGAGAATCCCCTCAGTGACTTCACCAGCAGCTTGTTATTTTTCTTCAATAGGCAACTGAGGAATGTCCCCTGCTCTGGTAGCTCTGCAGCCATCAGCGCACGCCTTGTTTTCTGGCAAGCAGCTGGCCAATGTGGGTGGAGGGCTCTTGCCAGCAGGCCCTGCAGCCTCACCTAGGTGTAGCTAGGTTTTCTGGGCCGGGTTTTCTAGTTAACTGTGTCCACAGTGAGTCAGAGACCCATCTGGAGAGAACTGGGAGTGGGAACGGGATAGAGGGAGGAATGCAGGTTGATTGTCCATAGATGCTTTTGTGACATGCAAGTCAGTGACTTTGAAGGAGACAGCTTTCTATGAAAATAGTATTTAAGGGAAGTAGTGTTTTCTTTATATCATTAGCAAACGCTTCACTGGCCATAGATAAGAATGTACTCAGATGTGGTGATGCAGGACTGTTTTTGGCTGTTAAGGAAGAAAATGAATAGTCTTTTTACTTCTCCTTCTCTAATTAATTGTCTAATTATTTCCATCTGAGAAGAGGGTGCTCAAACCAGCTCTTTTAAAAGGGAGGACAGGTGGCCTGGTGGTTAAGCAGTTTTCATATCAGAGTGCCTGGGTTTTTCCCAGCTCCAGCTCCTGATTCCAGCCTCCTGCTAGTGTACATCCTGGGAGGCAAAAGGTCCCTGCCACCCGTGTGGGGGACCTGAATTGAGTTCCCAGCTCCTGACTCTAGCCCAGGCCAGCACTGACTGTTGGGGCATTTGAGGAATGAACCAGTAGATGGGAGCTATCTTTCTATCTCCCTGTCTTCTTGCCTCTGAAATAAATAAATCCATAAAATTTTGAAAAATCATCTGTCTTTCATCAACAGACAGGATTCTGGGCCCAGAGCAATCATGAAATATGGCAAGAATGGGAGGAGGTAGAGGGTGGAAAAGGGTAAAATGGGCTTTTTAAGAGATTAAGAGAAGGCCGGTGCCGCGGCTCAGTAGGCTAATCTTCCGCCTTGCGGCGCCAGCACACTGGGTTCTAGTCCCGGTCGGAGCACCGGATTCTGTCCTGGTTGTCCCTCTTCCGGGCCAGCTCTCTGCTGTGGACAGGGAGTGCAGTGGAGGATGGCCCAAGTACTTGGGCCCTGCACCCCATGGGAGATCAGGATAAGTACCTGGCTCCTGCCATCGGATCAGCGCGGTGCGGCGGCCATTGGAGGATGAACCAACGGCAAAGGCAGACCTTTCTTTTCTCTCTGTTTCTCTCTCTCACTGTCCACTCTGCCTCTCAAATAAATAAATAAATAAAATAAAATAAAAAGAGATTAAGAGAGTGAGAGAGTGGCAGACAGATTTGGGCAAGAGATCTGGATTCCATTTCAGCCTGGGTTAGAGATATTTTACTTTTCTTTTACTATCTGTTAAAAAGCTCTTTCTGTTGATCTCTATCTTCCATTCCCTTTTCTCCCCTCCTTCTCCATACAGACTTTTCTTCCTTCCCAAGAAACTCTGACAGCTGAGTCTGGTCTTTCCTAAGTGGAGGGCTTTGCAGTCGTATCATGCATCAGGTCTCAGGAAGAGTGACATTAACTGTTTCTCTGACTTCCCTGTCAAGGATAGTTGTGAAAGGGCAGGGAACTCTGGGTTCTTTATCCGGTCTCATGGGAAGAGATGGGAGGAGGGGGCAGAAATCAGTGGTGATTCTCAGTAGCTCTTTCAGTTCTTGGGTCTTGCTGGGGCCTGGATGAGGGGAGGTGCCAGAATGTACCCTTGTTCCCTACAAAGTCTCCTCCACCCTTCTTGCCCTTCAGCGTAGTGTTAGTGTTCACCCAACAAGGAACGTTTTCCCTCTTTTGTTTACAAAACTCAGTGGCAGGATTATCAGACTTCATTAACCTGCATGTTCCTTCAGTAGAAGAAAAGGCTCCTAGTAGGAATCCCAGGGTTCTGCTTGGACACTGAGCTCCTAACTATGCTGAGTGTAGATTTACTCCCTATTACCCTTAGTGTCATTCTGATAAAATCTGCCAAGACTTTTTTTTTTTTTTTTGACAGGCAGAGTGGACAGTGAGAGAGAGACAGAGAGAGAAAGGTCTTCCTTTGCCGTTGGTTCACCCTCCAATGGCCGCCGCTGCAGCCGGCGCACCGCGCTGATCCTGGCAGGAGCCAGGAGCCAGGTGCTTTTCCTGGTCTCCCATGGGGTGCAGGGCCCAAGCACCTGGGCCATCCTCCACTGCACTCCCTGGCCATAGCAGAGAGCTGGCCTGGAAGAGGGGCAACCGGGACAGAATCCGGCGCCCCAACCAGGACTAGAACCCGGTGTGCCGGCGCCGCAAGGCGGAGGATTAGCCTATTGAGCCACGGCGCCGGCTATGCCAAGACTTTCTAAAGATGGACAGGTGACAGAGTGACTGGAAACTGTGGGAGATTTACTTGTCTTAGAGTTGAAGAATACAACTTTTCTTTTCTGGGTCCCCATTTAGTTAAGGGTTTAGATGAGCAGTTAACCACACTAGGATGGCCACAGCCTGTGCGCATCTGGTTTAGACTCATGCAGATTTCTGAGGTTCTCAGGAGAGACTGACTCCTAACTCTTTCTGCTGTGTGTGCTTTAGGACCACACTACAGGTACAACTTGTGCGGGGCCCTTCTTGCTTTCCTTTCATAAAACATGCATGGAGGAAGAAGTTCCTTTCTGTTCTTTAAATAAGAGTTGTTCTGGTCCTCAGTTTCCTCTGACTCTACTGACTTCCTCAGTGGGAGTAATGGAACCACAAATCTTGGTTTGACCATCCTCTCAGGGGTTAGAGATTTGTGATTACACCCTAGGAAAGGTTGTTTCTGCCTTTGAAAGAGGTTATATTAAAACCAGAACTGGCAAGCATTTGTTTTCTCAGCCCAGCTATAAAGTGATTTTTTTTTCCTTTCCTTCGCCCTGTTTGTACTTGGAATCAATGAGTAACAGACTAGATGGACCTATCATTACCCCGTATGGGTCTCTAATCAGAGAAGAGAAAAGACTACAGCAGGAGCGGTCTACTACATTCTTCCCGCTCCAGGCATAGGGATTCTCCACTGCGTTATTTTGGTTCTATACATCTAAGATGAACTCAGAAGTGCCTACTGCTGTGGGCATTAAACAGGAGAATAGTTATTCTTAGTTCAGTGTCTGGAATGTGGTTGGAATTCACCAAGTGTTAGTTCTGCCTCTTCTTGCTCCCTCCTCTTCCAGGGACTTCTTTGAATCACAGTAAACCCTTGTGTCTCTGAGCTCCAGGATGAGCTGGCCCGGGTCACGTCTGGTTGGGGGATTATAGCCCCAGTCATTTATCCACATTGGACTCCCGGTCTTACTGGATCTCCCTGTAGGACAGACAGGACGGTTAAGACTAGAAGACAACCACACTGATGATGATAGTAATGATGGTAAGCGCTATGTGTGCTAATCCAAGTAGTTGTTATGACACCCTGATAACCAAGGTAGTTTGCATTGGCACACCTAAGGCTTAGCTGGCCTGAGAACAGGGTTTGGTCATCTGTCCTTGTGAGGAGATAACGGTGCCTGAGAGCACATCAGCCAATTTTATTGTGCTGCTCTGTGGGGCTGAAGACCATGTAAATTAGGGAAGAATATCCACATCTGGCCCAAACAAGTGCATAATATACACTTGGGCACTTTCCTCCCTGAGAGCAAGCAGCAATATGGTACTTTGGAGTGAAGATAGCAGATCTGGAACAAGGGGAGGCATGTAGTTATTTTGATTTTGTCCTTATAATCATTTCTGAAATGTTGCTATAGATATCAGACAAATATTCACCCAACCCTAGGCTGCCATGTAGAGCAATAGACACAAACCATTGTCTTTGCCAAACCTCCTGTGGGTTGAGTTTGAACTAGTGTCCCCCTGATTCTGATGAACAGCTACTTCCTTTTCTCATTTCACCTGTACCTCTGTGTATTCCAGAAAAGCTGACAAAGATAATTGGCTCCCCTGTTCATTATGTTATTGGATTTTTGCTTTTCCTGACATGTTTCTTCTTGCAACCATTCCTCTATCTATTCTAGAGGGTAATTGTTAAAGGGGTCCCAGTGAGAGAGTAGAGACATTGTACACATTTTTTAAAGATCTGGTTCCCAATTTCCTATGACTCTAGTTCTTTGATGCCAGGATTGGGATGTGACATATTCTGTTCCATTGCTGAAGAGCATCTACCCCAACATAGCCATACACTCTTTTTTTTTTTTTTTTTTTTTGAGAGGCAGAGTGGACAGTGAGAGAGAGAGAGAAAAGAAAGGTCTTCCTTTGCCATTGGTTCACCCTCCAATGGCCGCCGTGGCCAGCGTGCTGCGGCCGGCGCACTGCGCTGATCCAATGGCAAGAGCCAGGTACTTATCCTGGTCTCCCATGGGGTGCAGGGCCCAAGGACTTGGGCCATCCTCCACTGCACTCCCTGGCCACAGCAGAGAGCTGGCCTGGAAGAGGGGCAAGCGGGACAGAATCCAGCGCCCCGACCGGGACTAGAACCCGGTGTGCTGGCACTGCAAGGCGGAGGATTAGCCTAGTGAGCCGCGGCACCGGCGCCGTATACTCTTACCCTTCTCTTTTCTTGTGTGGACTGTCCTTTTCCCTCTGCCTAGAATCTGTTGTTCTATTCTTTTTGTGTCAAACTTCTACTGCTTCCTTTAGTGCCTCGCTCAAATCTCCCTTTCCCATATATATTTGTTTTTGCTTTTGCATTCCCAGGTAGAATTATCTCTCTCTCTCATCTGTGTTGCCATAGCACTTTAAGCATACTTATTTTAGAGTATATCACATCAGATTATGGTTATTTTATTTTATTTATTTTTTAAAGATTTATTTATTTATTTGAAAGAGTTACACCGAGAGAGGAGAGGTAGAGAAGAGAGAGAGGTCTTCTATCTGATGGTTCACTCCCCAATTGGCCATAACAGCCGGAGCTGCGCCAATCTGAAGCCAGGAGCCAGGAGCTTCTTCTGGGTCTCCCACACGGGTGCAGGGGCCCAAGGACTTGGGCCATCTTCTACTGGTTTCCCAGGCCATAGCAGAGAGCTGGATCAGAAGTGGAGGAGCCGGATCTCGAACTGGTGCCCATATGGGATGCCGGGTCTTCAGGCCAGGGCATTAACCCGCTGTGCCACAGTGCCAGCCCTGTATGGTTATTTTATTAAACATTTCATTTTCTTACTATTTTTTTACTTCTTGAGAAAGTTTTGTGTAACTTTTATAAGCTTCAGTTTCCTTGCTCGTAAGAATGGGGATTATAGTAGAATTTACCTCACAAGATGTAAGTGAGATAGTGAATGTGATATCCAGTACAGAATATAGGAGTTGCCACAGGTGGGGACTGCATCTCATTTATGCTTTTGTCTTCTGCACCTAGCATAGTGCCTGGCACATTTTAAACAAGAAAGAAACATTTGAGGACTTGAATTTAATTAAACTCCTGTGTTAAACTGAATAAAAAAAAAAAACATTCTGACCATGGTGCCTGTGTTGTATAATTTATCTAACTATGCTTTGTGTGTGCACATATGCATTTCCGTCTCCAGTGTCAGATTATGAACCTCATCAGGAACTTCAGTCATCTTATAGTCATATCTAATTTTTGGTTAAAAAATGATATTACCTAAGACAAATCCATTTGAAAGAATGAAAATGTACTCCTGTTAAATACATTGGAAAGAGAGTACTACTGGCATGTAGGAAGTTGGAAATGAGGGGTTCCAGCTACATTTGAACAGTGGCAGCTTTGTTGAGTAAGTGAAAAAGGCTACTGAGAAGGAATACAGGCCTTTTTGGTTCTGTTAATGCTGGTGGGCTTGTCAAATCATCTTTCTCCTATAGCTTTGCTTTGGACGTCCACTTAGTGTGCCAGCTGAGAAGCCTATTCCCTGTTGCTACATCTGGGCAGGCAGGACAAGCCCTCACTCACTCCTCTTAGAGCCCCTAAGAGAGTAGATATTTGTTGTTTCTTAGGAGGTGGAGGGGAGGTATGCTTTTTTCTCCTTCTCAATGTGGCTAATAAAGAATCCCAGGCTGGGTTGTGGCACAGGGAGTTAAACTGCTTGCAACACTAAGACAGGCATCCTGTATCTCATATTGAGTGCCAGTTCTGCTTCCAGCCCAGCTTCTTTCTAATGCAACTAGGAAGGCAGCAAATGGTGGCCCAATTACTTGGGCTCCCACCCAAGTGGGAGACCAGGATGGAGTTTCCTAGTTCCTGGCTTCACTCTAGCTCAGACCTGGCTGTTATGGCTATTTGGAGAGTAAACCAGTGGATGGAAGATCTTGCTCTCTGTCTTTCCCTCTGGCTTTGAAGAAATTAATCTTTTTTTTAAAAAGGAAGAAAAAGTGTTAAGTTGTTTTTCTTATGATAGCTGCTTTATATTGTCTTAGCAGAAAGTGCAGAAAAATAAAAAGCAAAAATTATCCAAATCCTAAAATGCACAAATAACTATGTTCATGTTTTATTGTATTTTGTATTTCTACCTAGTCTTTGTCCATATATATATATGTTAAAAATTTGTATTTTTATGTACTTATTATTATCGCAATATAGCTCTCTCTTGGTCATTTTGTGAGCATGCTTTATGCCTTTAACTGTTTACTTACAAGATAATTTTATTAGCTGTATGAAATTCTATCAAATGGAACCATGCCCCAACTGTGGGGCATGTACCTTTCTAATTTTTCTAAGTTATAACATAATGAATATCCTTGTAAATACATTTTTCTGTGCATCTCTGATTTTATGTTGCTATTTTTGGAGAAACAGAATCCTAGGAGTGAAGATACTGAGTCTTAATACTTGTATTCAGGGGCTGGCGCTATGGTGTAGTAGGTTAAGCTTCTGCTTGTGACACTCGCATCCTGTATGGGTGCCAGTTCGAGTCCTGGCTGCTCCACTTCCAATCCAGCTCCCTGCTAATGGCCTGGGAAAGCAATGGAGAGTCGCCCGAGTGCTTGGGCCCCTGCAACCACATGGGAGAACCAGAAGAAGCTCCTAGCTTTGGATCTCAGCCCAGGTCTTGCCATTGTGGCCATTTGAAGAATGAACCAGCAGATGGAAGATTTCTTTCTCTGTTTCTCCCTTTCTTTGTAACTTTGCCTCTCAAATAAATAAATAAATCTTTTAAAAAAGAATGCATGTATTCAAAGCTCTAGATGTTGGTTTCTAATTTTATTTCACATTTTAATCTGTTGAGGGTAAGAAGAGAGCACCTGTAACATTGAGAACACCTCTGATAGCTGCCGGCCTCTTGTCCTCTAGGGATGTCTCTGTCTTCAGGCTTAGTGGCTGGCTGGCTCAGATGTTTTATTATCCAGTTAATTTCACAGTGGGACAGATGCCAAGTGTCTCTCTCACTTAGTCAGCAGCTCCCACATGTCATCATCATATCACCGCACAGTTTTACTCTGAAGCTTTTCTCTCAGCTGCTCCAGCCATTAAATGGCTTCATTGATCCTTCTTCCAACCCTGGTACCTTTTTGTCTTGTACTGGGAAGAGATCCATTAATGTTGTTTGGGAAACTGCAGTACAAAGAATGACTTAATCAATGCTGTGTAGAAATCCCAGACTGGTACCAGCTTGAGAGTCTCTTTACATTCCTGCTGTTACTAAGCTAACAACTATTAAGTTGGACAGTTTGACCTGATACAATGGGTTGACAAGCTCTACTATAATCAACACTTTGTTTATGGTAGGCGCCTGCCTTTAGAAAAGATGGAGCTGGTTCTGTGTTGATCAACATATTACAGTCAAAACTTTTCTTTGGTGGCCTTGGAAGAGACTTTCAAGAGTATGTTCTTGTTTCTGACTTGGAGTTGCTGTCTTGGGGCAAGAGTGGGAGTGTTGGAGAATAGCTTGACGGAGAGACCCATGTGTGGGACTTTCTGTGCAGGGAGGGAGGGAGTCAATAAGAAAGTCACTGTAGCAGCAAGGATAGTGGAAAATGGTTTGAGTCACCTGCAGGATTGCATCCTTCACAGTGAGAACTGTCTGCCCCTCCCATTCCCAGAGCCCTTAAGCAAACCTGTCTCAGTGGGGTGATTCTCTCCACTACAGGGATTCTGGGAATCCGCATACTTCTGGGGTGAGGTCGGTCAACAGCTTTTACAGCATTAGGCACCTAGTAGACCCTGTATTTTGTTTGAGTGGTTGGCAGTTTTATACTGTTGAAGTTTATTTTCTCGTTAATTGTATGTTTTTTAGCCTTACTGCATCATGCCACTGGGTGAGAGAAGAGCGTTAGCACAAGTTCACTTTGGGATTGGTTTCTGTTGCTACTGGTTTGCAGTTTTTTGTTTTATTTTTTTGTTTTTTAAGATTTATTTATTTA